GTTACAATGCATACACTTGCGAGCAAAATAACGTAATACTTATTAAACTTTTCGAAAACAACTAAAATTTAAATAAAACAGCGAGTAGAGCCGATGACTTATCAGTCTACTCTCAAATTAATGTAATGATAATTATTATGTAACACATTGTTAGGAAAAATATGATTTAGGTAATAGTACATAATCATAAATGGATAATTATTTGGAATGGTGATCATTTCGTGACATTATAAACATTCTGACACGTTTAATGTTGAAACTGGTGAATACGAAAATTCAACAATCCTTGATAGATCTTAATCGACTGATAAAGTATGCAGTATTGATTGAAATAGTAACGCGGTTTAATGCTTTAGTCCTCTTTGAATAAGGTTCATAATAGCGATGTTAAGTACCTAACTCGCGAATAATTGAGACTTTTTGAGAATTTAATATTCACCTGATAGACTATAATCAATTCAATCATAAACTCTTAAAGGGTGATTCTGCTACAACTAATACATTACTCTTTTCTTTACAATAAATACAAAAAACAACGACTGAATAATGCCGATTTTTGTCTTTGATATTGGTCTCATCTCATAAAGATAGATATCGTATTTGTGCGACAGAATCACCCCATAGATAGTCATTAATGAATTTAAAAATAAGCCTTTTTATATATATTTAAATAAAATTAATAATATCATTAAAGATCATGCATTTTTGTACACATTAACGTGTATGACTTCTCCTTATCAGGTACATACATTAAAGATTGATACTTCTATTTATGTACATTATTGGTAAATTGTCTAATATTAAAAGTACAGTCACGACGACTAAATTATTGTTTTCATTTTTGCCACAAATTCAATTTTAGTTTCTTTCTCACAGGTACAGTCAGAATAAAATTCATACATAATATTATGATGGACAGTTTATAACTTTTTTTGTAATCTTTATTGTTTAATGTATTTTTTGAGGTATTCAAATCAGAATTATTGGTGCCCGGACACTAACGTGAAGCATGTTTACATCTTGAGATTCTAGTAAGTACTAAGTACATAGTTAATATTGACTAAATAGACTCTGACTGTACCTGTATTTAGAAGATAAAGACTTGCAACAGTCAAATTATTAACATGCCAAAAATATCTGGCGGTACTACAATTTAAAAACAATAATACGATTATAAATTTAGTATTTTAAATGTTACTCCTAGAAGCACACTTAACGATAATAGGCCTAAAACAATAACATGCCTCATTGATTCTTACATTTAAATATTACATACTTAACTAAAATAGTATTACAAGTAAGATTGCCAGCAGGACAATTTACAAATGACGACCTTTCTCAATGGAATTTGCACTTTAACATCTTCTATTAAGGTTTAAATTCAATTGAGTCGTTCCGCGGTAGGTTGATATGCTGACGTTTTTGCATTACATACACGCATATTGGAACAACTAAGGAATTAATTAATATAATATGAATTAAACTAAGAAAAATTTGGTCAAATGACAACCCGTCCTTTAACCCGTCCTTTTTTTCCTTCCAACATAGTAAAAATTTCACCATGACTTTATTATAACAACCATTCTGAAGTAGATTAGATAGTATTAAGATAGTATGTGTAGCAATCGAATAAGCACCTGTGTATTTTTCCATCAGCCCCATTTTATAACATACTGATATGTTTTTGCTCTTATTATTATCATGATTTGTAGAACCATTTTTTAACCTTCAGAGAGCTTTAACTAAATATTTTTAATTAAATTATAATATAATGGCAAATAATATTGCATCAGATCGATAAAATAACTAAATAAGTTACTTTCTGTGTGATGGTGTAACTTTATATTCAGAGAATTAACCATCATCATCAAAAAGATCATATCTTAAGAAATACTTATTCAATAAATGTTTCATATTATTCAATAATTATAATATGTAACATAACATGAATTAGTATCACTAATTATATTACATATTCGAGATTTCAAGTCTTTATAGACAGAGCCAAGTCAAGATACAGCTCCCGATTCTATCTTTACCATCCAGTGTACTAACCAAAGTCAAAAAATTTTCATGGTAAACAGGGAACTACGTTGTAATTATACCATATCTTCGGATGGAGCGAATCATTTTTTCATATTTTTGATATTAATCATATTAAATATGTATTGATCGAACTTCATTTGGGAAGTTCGTTAGATCATAAAAAAGCTTACGCAACGAATGAAACGTGCCTTGGATCACAGTGGCTCCCTTTGACAATTATTACGATCTTTATTCCGTATCTCACAAGATTTAATTTATGGACAATTACAATTCATTTTTTTGTTAAACGCAAAATTGTTTCACTAAACAAATAAATGTGATAATACAACAGGATATAAATTATGGTAAACAATAATTTTAGTTGCAATATAAATATGATAACAACATTGTTGTATGTACGAAGTATATAATAATATTTGAACAACAAACTGACGACTTCGGAAATGCACACACATCAACAAACAACTAAACAACATTTTATAGGTGGTGCAACGTAACGCCCTGATATATTAGCCTTTATTTAAGTAGTAATAGAATCTATATTGTCCAAGTATTCATATTGTTGACAGTACAAATAATTAACTACCGACATGAATGTGCGTACTTACAATTAAAGTACAATATTTACAAAACAATTTCATAATTTATTTACAGAATTACCAGCGAATGATTTAAAACGTACATTATTAATTATCTATTGTGTAGTTCAAGTGCAGTGTTATTTTCTATTAAAGTAATGTATCAAAACATTAAAATTCGTGAAATAGTGTCTGAAAAAACAAACTGCCACACATCAGACGTACCTACTATTATAAACTTAAGACCACCTCATTCTTAGCGAAATAAGAACTCCCATAAGCAATGCAACTGTTCCACTTGATTTGCCATCAAGTGTACCTACTTACTTTAAGGCGGGTTTTAGAATTACGCTGACCGCTCGCTGATCTTCGGCGCTGACAGATCAATATATATGTAACTAGCTTTCCGCCCGCGGCTTCGCCCGCGTGGAATTTTGTCTGTCACAGAAAAACTTTATCGCGCGCGTCCCTGTTTCAAAAACCGGGATAAAAACTATCCTATGTTCTTTCCCGGGACTCAAACTATCTCTATGCCAAATTTCATCAAAATCGGTTGCGAGGTTTAAGCGGGAAAGCGTAACAGACAGACAGACAGACAGACAGACAGACAGACAGACAGACAGACAGAGTTACTTTCGCATTTATAATATTAGTTGGGATTGAAGGGAACGTTCCTGAGTGACGCTGATCGCTCGTCGCCGACGCTTCATACAATTCGGCTGTCAGCACTGACGGTCAGCGGGCGTCAGCGTGACTCTAAAATCAGCTTATAATGAAGTCCAAATCATCATAAACATTTACTAAAGATAACATTACCATCAAAAACATGTCAGTTTTATAATAATACTGATTTCAATATTGAGCAACTTGTTTTTGATACTTAAAAGTAACACCAAATGGCACAAATACTTTACCTAAACTTTATTATTACGATTGTCGGTCCATTAAATGCGTGAGCAAAAAATTTATATAATTAATAAGAAAATAATAAATAATCCGGAATCTTCTTATTCTGTATTAGGTAACAACAATAATACATATGTAGCTTCTGGCACGAGTATGGTCTTCATGAAATGGCTTAAAAGGCTTTATTGGCCTTTCTCGGCATTTTATGGCAAGGTCATTTTCCAAGGTAACATTAAAAATAATGAACAGTTTGGCTTGACACCACTGGCGATTGACATGACCCTACTTAGTGGTGCCATCCTGGTAAGTTCAAATTCGATAGTCCTCCTACCGCGTTCACCAGTTGCGCTACTGTCTTCGTCACTAGCAATTGACAGTGATTGACAAGGACAGACTCTACAGTAGTGCCAACTGTTGGGCACCAAAACGATATCCTGTTTCCATGCATGCAAATTAATGCATGTCCATAAATACAACAAAGAATCAGGTGTAACATCATGCTTATAAAAAATATCTTTGGGGCATCATAAGGGAGAGTCCGGTAATTTGGACCAGTTTTTTTCAATCCCATTTTACACATAGTTTTCTTTTGTTTTGGCTAATGTTCATGGTATATAATTAAAGAGAAATTATTCAACTTACTATTTCATAGGTATTAATCAACACAATTGTTATATATTTAGCACAAATCAACAAAATACGAGTTCAGAGCTTCGGTCCAATTTAGCCAACCGGTTCGATAATTTGTACCACAGGGTTACTAAATTGGATTTCAATAAATTTCAAGCCTATGCCAAAAACTATGGCAAAATATTATACGATACATTCTTAACAAATTAGGTAACGAAAAGGAACAGTAGTTAATAACATAGACAATCGATATTGTTTCACACGTTATCACGATTTTGAGTAAAAGTTTTGTAATTCCAATTATCGAAACGCACACTTGTTCCTTATCTACTTTGCCAGTCTTTTGCTTTCATTTATTGCTAGTCAAACATAACTACGCTATTATAACTTCAAAATATGATTTACTAAAAAAAAATTTCAAAATCCTTTGGTAAAGTTCCATACAACTTGATGTGGTACAATTTAACCGACTAGGTGATAGTGCTTTTAAAAAATCGGTAAAAAATAAAGCTTATAAATATCGAAAAATGTTTCAAATAATTGTAATACACACTAATTTACGCTTCTAAATAATATATTAGAAACACCCTGTGATTAAATTTAATAAAATTACAAACTAAACATGCATTGTCAAAAGTTACTTGAAAACAATGAAAAAATACTTTTCAAAATAAAACACACGTGTTCGATGTCACGGCAAAAACCACATGGCCGATATTAATTGAATTTAGTTGTGTATCGCTGAGTGTTGCAATTACAGACATTCAATAAATACTTTACGAAATATGAGGGTGGTACAATTTACCCGGCGGTACAATATACCGAACTCTCCCCTAATATCCTATGAGGCATTGTTGTACATTGCATGCGAAAAATAGTTTACGTAATTGCGTCATTTTAAAAAATTATGTCATCTGTATCAAATTTTATAGCCTGAAAATCTTCAAATTACAAACATATAAAATCATACCTTTAGATAGCAACTAGCAAGTACGTGTGTGAACATTTTGAAATATTTCACTACCTATTTATTACAAATGTTACGCTATGTCTACTATGAAAAATGTGTATTTATTGCTTTGTAGTAAAAAATATATAACGCGATTGACTTTCATGTAATTCTAAATATTGAAGCACTTCTTACTTGTACAAAAACTTCGGCCTTACGTAAATATTTTATCGATATTTGTATGAAATTATAAATAATTTTACGAATCTGTCCAGAGGATTACCTATTTTATTCAGCTAAACTCTGGAATTGCAGCGTCAATCATTCCGTGAGCTAAATCAACCATTTACACAGAGCCAATCTATGATAATAATGCCAATCCAAAACAATAAATTGTCAATCCAACATTGGCAGATATATTTGAGTCAATCCAACGTTGTTGCAATGTATGACAATGTGAGACAGTCCAATATAATGGAATATCGTTCTTGGATTGGCTCTACTTACATTAAGCTAATCTTGGATTGGATAAATGAATTGTAGACGGTTTGGCACTTTGTAAGTGGTTCGTGTAGGTATTTCAGCTCGCGGCGTGACTCTAACATAATATTTACTAAAAAGGTATTAAAGTTTTTATCATACCTGGCAATAACTTCCGTGAATCTTCAAATTCCGTGTTCCATTTCAGTGAAACATTTTTTAAACATTTGGTAACGTTTCTACAGAATCTAAATTAAGTAAGAAACTGTATATTTCTTGTCACTATAATACCTAGACTTTGGTTTGGTAGTGATATCAAATGTCACCTCAACGTGACGTCGCCGGGCAAGTCCTCTTGACTTGTTCTTTTTCTGCGGCCACTCGTTGGGCCAGTTCTTCTGCCCAGCGGTGGGCAGTGCGGTCCACTGTCGATGGCACCGTTAAACAGTTCATTCCACCGTACTCGCATGCAATCTGTAAAGAGATGATAAAATGCAATAGTTATTTATATCGTTAATGCTGGTAACAGGCGTTTATAACATACAGTTTGAGCAATCGATCTTTTATGCCATTTTTCCTACTGATGTTAAGGCTATACTGCTCCGCTGTATATGCCGTCGACAGTTTGATACGCCTACTAACTTGGCGCCCAACGCGTGGTCCTAAAAAATCATTCCCCAACTTACAACCAGTACTAAATTCGATTATAGTTTTCGAGCTTTCTACAAATACTTTAATACAGGCAAGCACATTGGTAACCTAGTAGCGCTCGCTTCGTGACACGCCTGCAAACTTGGCGCCCAACGTGTAACCCCAAAAAATCATTCCGCAGCTTGACAGAGACGCGGTTACTCCGATCGTTCATCACTTTTCGAGCGCTTTCACAATACTTACATAATAGAAGGAAACCAATAATAACTTACTCGATAGTGATGTAGTAGCGCCCTTTCCGTGGGCACGCCAGCCGACGTGGCGCCCGGCGCGTGCTCCCAAACAAAATGGTTGCCCAGCTCGACCGCGTCTCGCGGCCGCAGCGCATATTTGCTGCGATTCTTCAGCGCGTGCGGCGTCGCCCACCGACGCGTTTTGCGCGCGGTTAGTAACGGCGCTGGCGCTTCTGGGTCGTCCTGTAAAGAAGAAGAATGCGATGATTAAAGGTATCTATTAAGGCCTTGTAACACGCGCGATAACCGCGTAGTTTTTGGGTGGTTCTCATAGGCGAGACACTGAGGCGGTAATCATGCGATTACGGTTTGATGCAAATGTACGAGAACTTCCCAGAAATTACGCGGGTATCGCGCGTGTCTGAACCAGACCTAAATAAGTGACAATAAACACTCATCTCACAGAGTATACGAGAGCATTATAGAAAAGAGTGTAATGACGCGAGTACTTAGCGCTAGCAGGCTCCGCACTCGACGAGGCATGACGATCATCATTAACAAAGCAAGATTGTATGTATGTGTAAGTTACTAATCTGCTAAAACTCTCTTACCTCGCATATAAAAGAAGGCGTTTCTAAACAGAAAAGCGGCCGGCGCTTTAGAAGGCGGTCTGTAAGAGGCCCTGAGGGCAGTGAGTAGCGCTGGCAGACTCCACTCCCGACGAGACTTGACGATCACGTCCATATTGATGGCAAAGCAAGGCATGCTTGTATACTAATGAATCTGCCAAAAGTTATAATGCAATCGTACCTCCCACCGCATATAAAAGAAGGCGCGTCTAAACAGAAAAGCGGCTGGCGCTTTAGGAGGAGGGCTGTAAGAGGCCCTGAGGGCAGTGAGTAGCGCCGGCAGACTCCTCTCCCGACGCGGCATGACGATCTCGTCCATCTCAATTCTCAATATCATAGCATTATGATCTACCTAGCTAAGTTAATTCTTACCTCTTACCTCATATAAAAGAAGGCGTTTCTAAACAGAAAAGCGGCCGGCGCTTTAGAAGGCGGGCTGTAAGAGGCCCTGAGGGTAGTGAGTAGCGCCGGCACACTCCGCTCCCGACGAGGCATGACGATCTCGTCCACGTCGATGACAAGCAATATTTGATATAAATCTACCAATAGTTCTGCAAAGATGAAGAGACAAATGGAGCTCTTACCTCCCACCGCATATAAAAGAAGGCATTCCTAAACAGAAAAACGGCCGGCTCTTTAAAAGGCGGGATGTAAGAGGCCCTGAGGGCAGTGAGTAGCGCTGGCAGACTCCGCTCTCGACGAGGCATGACGATCTCATCCAACATAATATCATAGCATTATGATCTACCAAGAGGTTTTAAAGGCTAAGTTAATTCTTACCTCCCACCGCATATAAAAGAAGGCGTTCCTAAACAGAAAATCAGCCGGCGCTTTAGAAGGCGGGTTGTAAGAGGCCCTGAGGGCAGTGAGTAGCGCCGGCAGACTCCGCTCCCGACGAGGCATGACGATCTCGTCTACATCGACGACAAATCAAGATATGACATTTATAATCTGCCAAATATTACGTAAAAATAACTGCACTCTTACCTCCCACCGCATATAAAAGAAGGCGTTTCTAAACAGAAAAGCGGCCGGCGCTTTAGAAGGCGGGCTGTAAGAGGCCCTTAGGGCAGTGAGCAGCGCCGGCAGACTCCTCTCCCGACGAGGCATGACAATCTCGTCCACGTCGATGACGAGCAGCCAACCGGTGGTCGACATCGACCGGTAGAGACAGTCGTTGAAGGCGGCGAACTGGCCTTCCGTTCTGAAATGAATAATATTCGGGATTTTAAAAAAGTATGTATGATTTAAAAGTATAAAAAAACATCGAAGACTATTACATCTACAATAATTTAGATACGGTTACGGTAATTTAAAACCGCAACCAAGTGTGAGCATTGTTGCAAAAACCTATCCTATTCCGTGATAAACGTAAACCGTATTTGCAACACATACAAGGAACACTGACTTGATAGAACTACCTTAAATTGATCATTTTTATTGCTTTTTGTACATAACGATCTATGTTATTAGTAAATAATTATCTAAAATTGAATTATTCTGGCTGTAACAAACTTTCGTAATTACTAAAAATTTCAAAAAAGCTTTTTTCAGAGTTGCGTTATTATTTTCAAGCAAACAAATTACAGAGGAACCAAGTAACTAATGAAGATTGATGATGTGGATACAGAAAGTAAAGCAAATTTTAGTGCCCTAAAAATTTCGCTAATAGCATATGACGCAAACAATTAGGCTAAGTTACTTATACCTCAAAACAACGAATACATCATTTGATAAATTAAAAACAAACGGTGCGAAAGAAAATTTGGATATGGCAGTGTTAAAGAAACTTCGGTCCGCTATTTCTTGAAAATATATCTTCTTCTGATATTATTCAACAATGTTTAATATGAAAGCATATCGAATTAGCCAAGTACATAATAAACACTTTATCGTCAAATTGGTTAAGGTGTATTGTTAATTTTGTATAAATTGCGAAACCTATTTTATTCATTAGTTATAGTTGCAAGTAGGTTCTCTTTTCACATATTTCTCATCTTATTTTATTTAAATGCATTTATGTAACAGATGTTGATTATATGTAGAAGACAAACCGCAAAAGGCGTAAGTTTTTATAACAAAAATTCATGTTCTCGAAGTTTACAAAACGCTGTCCTTTTGTCGATATGACGACTGAAGTACTGAACATCACTCGACCGGCACTTTCCAAATATTTTTCAAATCCAACTATCGATTCCATTAATATTCATATCGATATTCACATTCACATTACTAATTACACAGACTAGAGCCACTTATCATCGATCATTCAAATACTGTTCAGTCGGACAATCAATCATAGTCGCCCGTTCAATCACATCGGGTATTCCCCGTAACTAACCCTACTTGTGACATGTTTGTGCCTAACTTAATATCGATTACACATCGAGAACGTTGCAGTCATCGTTACTATTATGATTGCTTGCTGATGAATATTTGGCAAGCGTAGCACACCAGGCTATTAAAAATAGCACGTATTTTAACCAGATAAGATGCAAGACTTGATGAGCCTATAGTCCTCCATACTACCTAGTACCTACCAAGAATGGCATATTATTATATTTCCTCGAAATAATAAAATCTTATAAAACGAAAACATGTGGCACAAATGCTAGTCATCTCTCGTCGTTAAAAAGGGCTGTACTCCGGAATCAAGCCTATTGTGCACTATAATCATGATCGTTTGGTTCGTGACCCACTTTATGAAAATAACAAAATATCCTTATATTTTGTGTTGGTAAAAAAACGTGATCACGAAATTAACTTTTGAAAACCTTCTTTAACGCGCAAGTCCTCGTGTTGCAAACATGTGCTTCTATTTCTTTTGTATAGGTGACAATAACTATGGTCAATGGTCATATATTCACATGTCAAAATACGACAAAAGTATGCTATCTTGTCTGATTTATCATCATCATCATCAGATCATTTTTGATCTCCTCTGCAGAATCACGACTTTCTGTAATTTACCAGGAGAACGAGCACAATTCTTTATGATTACTCACCTGATCTCCACTTTAGATATGATAGGCAGTTTCCAAGGCAGCAGCGTGACGAGCCCCTGCCTCCTGTAGTGGTCCAGTAAACATCCCACAGGCGCGGAGAGAGACTCGTTGTACATGTAGAAATGGCTGGCCCCTAATATACGGTTCAGCTCGAACCATTCGATCAGCCAGTCACCCCGGGAGTATGAGAAATGGAATGGTTTGACGCACACATGCAGCGTTTCCTGGAAATTAATAAAAAATATTTGCAGTTTTGTAATTTTTTTATCAACACTATTGATATTCTTCAGTCAGACTGTGCAGAGAGAGACTGTGTGTGTGAGATTTGATATTATGTTTCTAAACACGAAACTCGAGAACGGCTAATCATTATCCAAATATTCATCCACGCAAAATTTTGTTCCCAGCAGGATTCAAGCCCAAACCGCCGCTGAGTGTACCAGATCAGGCGGCAATCAAAATAATAACATAAATATGAATTCGTGATCAGCAGTTCACGATAAAGTATTTCTTTATTTTACGCGCTATTTCAGAAGCATTATACCGTGCCTGAGGCTGTAACAACAGCGCATTGTTCCGCAGTATCTCTATATTCAAGAATACACTCTTGAACACACTAATCTTTTTGTTGCCCCGGGCGATCCCCACAATGGCCGACTGTGGCGCGCTGCAAACACCAGATGCCAGATATAGCCCGTTTGCTTATAACCACCGAAACAGATTCCCACTTGTGCGTTATCTAATGCATTATTCATTGGTTAGTTTAACAAGTTTGAGGATGGGCTCGTTGTGAGAATGTTCTATTATTTAGTTCCGTTAATGGCCGTTTTCATTAGAAAACGAAAGAAATGTTAGCGGAATTGGCCGCTTTAATCTAACATGCTGCATGCTATCTGGGGGATTATGATGCGTAAATTCTGACGAAAATTGATGTTTTATTGATGAATATTTAAAATTTGAAAATAAATTAGCTGCGAGAATGGAACAAGAATATGAGCTGTCGAATATAATTATCTTCTGCCTAAAGCGAATGCCTGCCACTAGTTTCCGAATACTTAGATGTCTAGTTGTTTAGCTACCTACGCCACATTCCACGCAGTTACCAAGAAATTCTACTTAAGACTGTTAGTCGCTTAGAAGTTAGGGGTTGGTATAATTCTATTTACCAAACATACTTACCTACAACTGCCTTAGTAACTGAACGGCATGACTACGCTATACTAAGGTATTTTAGAAAGAACAAAAACCTACCTCAATACCGCTCTTAGGTTCCGTGTCCAGTACAGTAAGCAAGTTGGTCGGTGGTCGTGTGGGTGAGCTGGCTGCCACCACTGAGATGGAAGCTCCTACGGTATCTTGGGGCTTCACACCAGTATCACGTAGCAAACACAGAACATAGGTGGCGCTGTACTTCAGGTTCCAGTTCTCGCGGATAGCCTGAAATGGATTAAAAAAACATTGCACATGAATAAGAGTTACAACATTATCATCACAAATTAATGATATTGGGGACATTTTTTTCTGATAAGCATACTCGTAATGTTTGGCTAAAATGTTAAAGGTGAACACTTCTTATCTCTTTACTTTGTAATTTATTAATCGCATCAAGAGGAAGAAATTATATCCACGAAAAGAGATCTACTTCTAAAACGATCATTGGGAAGAACATCGGTAACACTCGTTACCGAAAGTGAATGAAAGGGTAACGGAGTAACGGGGCTAGTCCCACCTCTCCTTCCCACCACTGTAACTCTTGTATAGCCGGAATCTACAGTTTTGTTTGGCCTCCTATAAGACCCAACGAGTGAAGGTTGATTACTCCCAGAGAATAGCTTGTTGTCTTGAAACTGTACTATTAGTGTCGAGGTGTGGAATGAAGTGTTTCCAATTCCAAACTAGATATCATTTCCGAAAATTTATTAAACGATACCTAGGCGTAACGGGACTAGTTCCACCTATCCTTCCCACAACTGCAACTCTTGTATAGCCAGATTCAATGAAACCCAACCAGTGAAGGATATACCGTGAAGGACTTAGCTATAGCTTACCATCTCGAAACCTTACTTAATTACCTACTGTCTGTATAGTAGGTAGGCATACCTACTGTCTTGTTTTCTGTGGTGCACAATAATGTGTTATCTATCTACTTATTAGTGTCGAGGTGTAGGACGTAGCTAGCAGATGAATCTCACCTTAACCCTAGCCTTGAGCGTGAGCGTGCGGTTATCAGGCAACCAGATGCGACACATGACTGCATCGGCGCCGCGCGTTTTAGTCGCTGCGATTATGCGCACCGCCGCAACTGTTCGCCGCTCTACGAACGCTGAATATACGTAGAACCTAAACCTGCAACAAAATTACTGTGTTCAAGGAAAAATGGAATTAAAAATGCTTGTTTAAGACGATATAAGCTTGTTTCGTTTTAATTATATTTTATTTATAAACCAATGGAAAAAGCACGTCAATCATCAATCAAACGACGTTATTCCAAAGATAAGGGCCTTGTAATTCAAACGTACCTAAGTATGCCCGAAGATCTATGGAACATAATGTTCTTTCTTTGGCATCATTAAGAAAATTAACCTCCCTGGAGTGACCAGTTAATATTAATTAACGGATAAACAGACCCGAAGGACAAATCGAAGGTTGTTTGAGTAACTAATACCAATGGATTGATCCTGACCACGATCAGTATTGGGTTACGACGACAAGGCCGCGAAATGAAATTCATTCGGAATTAGTCGCACGGAATCGTATCGGTATCGGACGGAGCAAATTACTTTGATTAGTGAATCATGAATAGTTCTTGGTAATTTAGCTTTTAAACTGCTATTTACTCCAGTTGATCTAATGACAAGATTATTTCTATTTAAACTTTGCTTGTGCTCTCTATCTGATAAAAAGACCGGTATTTTATTTGACTAGGTTAAACCTCGGTCTCATAGAGCTTATTTGGAATTTCTGGGTCACTTTTAACCACTTTAGGTTCGTCTTCATCTTTAGTCATAGATTCTACCCTGTCATTGGTCTATTAATATTGAAATTCAAAAAATCTATGCTTGAGACTGAACCTAGTCTTACAGACTCCTACAATTTAATCCTAAAGTTGTTGTGAATAGGGTTGGAAATTCAAATTAATCAATCATAGCACTTAACGATGACCTTTGTCACCCTCACCGAGGGATGCTAACTAAAGTTCAAACTAGTTCTGTTAACCTTTGAATAATGCATTTTTGGTTAACCCTAGAATAGTCAACTCGGTTAGGCAAACGTCGCAACTCGCAAACTAATTTGGTGTAATCAGCGTTTGACTAGTTAGGCATGGGAATGGGATTAGGCGTAAACCATGTCAAAGCGAATGCGAGATTCGATCTTAATTGCAATCATCGGTGTAAATGAGCAGACCACAGCTCGACACTTCGAAATAAATCGTAACTTCTTTCAGATGATCAGAGTGCTGTTTGCAAGATAATACGGGTAGAAGCTTCTTCAGTTTCAATCGGACTGAGTGACGAGTCCGAAAAAACACTTCTATACAAAAAAGAAGCTAAGAGCTCTTATATCAACGAGCGTGCTTATGTACCTACCTATTACAGTGCTTGTATTTTAATTTTATTACTAGTAGTAATAGATTACCTGCGTTGTCTAGGACGTTCCTGAAATGGCATGATATTTATTGTTGGTTTTATGGTTGTATCAATAAGTGAAGTGGAAATAATTAGGGCATTTTAATTAATGAAAATTTTAGTGACATTAAAGGTAGAGTCATGTCAACACACGACTATAAAAGGTAACAATAACGTAGTATAATAGCAAGTGAAGTCCAAATGTATGAGAACGTAAATAAAATGACAGTAATTAGAACGGAAGGATCTGTGCGCTGCTAATTTTCATTCGTAATGAACATTGTATAATGTGCATAGCGACAGTCGACAATAAAATTGCGATGTACGATAATGTACAAAAGAACGATTAATGTAATAGAGTATGCTGGAAAAATTGGGATAAAGGTGCAACAAAAATGGGAACCACTTTAAAGGCCAATATAGGTAGGTAAAGCAATTTTATACAGCACAGCCAAAAGAAGCTTCATAACATACCTAGGCATACTGCATTATCATCTAACAATACGAGAACGATCAAAACCGTTCACAAAACCCTGAATCGGCATTTAATTTGCAATCGAGAAATGATAACTAAAATCTAAAAATGACAACAATCTAAAGATAGGCGTGACTAAACTAATATCAGTTTTACTACCCCAAAATCCATAGTTCAATTTAATTAATGCACCGTTTGCTTTCCCTAACCAAAGAAAAATAAACATTCATAACACAAGCGCGTCGGGACCTAGCACGAGCCGCCTCCGTCGATTCGCTCGAATTGGAAAACGCAAATATTTGGAGGTGCCCACTACTGTAGATTGTGTAGAACTAGATCACGGTTTAGATTATTAAGTTACTTCACGAGATTGAGTTTCGTGGGAGATTTTACTGGTTATATTAACATACAGGCTACGAAGATATTGATGATTTATGATAACATTGTGAACTGCATTAATGAAATTGAGTAATTTCATTAATGAATAAAAGTAGGGGAGAGCGGGGCTGAAAGTGCCCGGGGTAAATTAGCTGTGACATATGTTTGAAATAATGACATAAGTACAGGTAATTTGTTTTTTATATAATTTTAGTATTTAGTATTATAAAAACTGTCAATTTATTATAAAAAGTATAATGAATAAATAAGTTATTGTTATACTGATGTCTTTTAAACTCTAAATTAGTTTACATTCATGTAAAACACCTAGCATTATCAACGGAACAACCGACCTCAGCCTCGGCACATCTTGCCCCAAAGTGGGGCTGGTAGTGCCTTGCCGCCGCTGAGTAAAAAAATCACTTTTTCTTAAAAACTATTTAAAATGCATATTATATATAAATAAATTTGTAAAATATATTAAATTTGCTTTAGGATGCACCACTACTCTCAGACATAGCACTTGTTTTATCCGAATCATTTAAGGATTTGTGAAAATCGGCACTTTCAGCCTCGCTCTCCCCTATGTAACACTTTAGTAACATTTCCTATGTTTTATTCTATAATACTTTGATGTCATTCAGATAAAAGAAACAATGAAAATGGGTCGGCCACTATCCGTACGTACAATAAATAAATCGTTCTAGTCACATGATGCAGGTAATTAACTGCAATACATAAACAGATACAGATTAGCAATTCCAGCTAAAATAGGTACGCTTTGAGGGTCACATTATCAACAATAACGTAGCACAGGTCAAACAGGGTGACTTCAATTTGGTGTCACATTTCGGAGATAACAAACTTGCAAAACAAAAAAGAATAATATGATAAAGAATTGACACACTAAACTCATGTATTTAACAGACCTACTATGGTGACTAGATATCATATAAATATATTAAGAGGTAGGTTACATTATTTATAAAATTGATAAGTACTGCATCGTTCAACTTACAAATTGAAAAATACCAATATTGACTGACACGTTAAAATATCCAGTTTGTCTTTAATGCAATTACGATACCATTAAAAACAGGTCAAGCTGAGAATGAACGATGTTTTTTCGTTTATATCCTTAAATAGTTAACACATGGAAGTGTCTATGTGTTAAGTATCTATGGCAGGGTTTCTCAAACTTTCGGCTCCATGAACCCCTGTAAAAGGTTCAAGGTGACAGCGAACCCCTTAAATCGCCCCTTACTTGAAATTAACTATTGAAGAAAACAAGGTTACTTGTTTCTTGTCGCAAATGGAGTCAATTTAGGCGATTTTGGACAATTTTAATTCAGCCACCATTAAGTACGTAAATCTTTTCGCGAACCCCCTGCCCTCGAATGGCGAACTCCTAGAGGTTCGCGTACCCACTTTGAGAAATCCTGATCTATGGATATAAACGAAAAATAATTGCATGCATTAGGCAAATACATCATACATTCCAGTAATTGCCAAACCGTGACGCTCTCCGCGCGCGCGATCAAATATCTGTCATGCCCAAGAAAAATGACCTTATTTCCTTGCCGGTTGCGAAATTGAATCCTGCCTAATATCATGTTGTTATCGTGTTGTCGTACAGTACACCTGTCATCGATCAATCTTGGATGTTCAGATTAAGTGGGTAATTTCACGGCAGACGCACAGCCGACGGATATGAAACGCGAGTGGGTCGCGACCCGGCGAGGGCTGTCAGCTGGTGACATTAGTACAATGTGGTCATTGGTCACCTTTTTTATCGCAATTAAATATCTACAAATTGGAGGTGAGATAACCAGTTGCCCTCGGTTGAGGACTGGGTGAATCTCGCTTCCACTTTGAGCCTGATCGTCTTCCAAAGAAATGCAGACCAAGAGCTTCCTCGTTGTGGTAAAAAGACAAGCCGTTTTTATCCATATTAGGACCCGAATTATGAAACCTATAAATTATGAAAAGGATAAAATTCAAGGCTGTAATTAGTCTATTAAAAAAAACAAATAATCTTGCTTTAGACTATGCTCAAGGGCGGGTCAAGTTTCGAGTGCCGTTTCAAAATAAAACTTGTTTTAAAGTACTAAGTCTAGAAGTCCATATTTCCAGTCCAATTCTGTATCCCCGAACTTCAGTCCAACAGCCAGCTGTCAAATATATAGCAATAAGCGTCAACCCTACGGGCAATACTCCAGGAAATGGAAAAACACTTCGTTCACAACAGACGGTGAGCATCGGGAAATTGTCCTATGCTATTGTCGGGCGGGAGAAACACATTCATTTCGAATGATGCTATAAATGGTATCAAATAAATAAAAGATATTCAAATTTGATAGCCTTTTATGTATACCTGAGGGTTATTACTGATAGTGGCAGTAGATAGTAGCATGATATAATAGTAAAGTATGTAACAAATAAACGCCCAGTGACTTTTCTGCCAGATATCTTTCCGAGATCTGTGAAACCAAAAGTTGTAGTTTTTTGACACTTAAGTTCCTCATAGGCTATTATGGACTTTTTTTGAGGACGGGCTTAACCTGGCCATAATACTCTACATACTCAATATAAATTGAGTAATCAAAACCACCTAAATGTTATGTATTTGTTTATGCTAGGAAGTGCTTATTAATCAGGTTGTCAGCGTATTTTAGCATATAACTGCGAGACGTTGAACTCACATACATTTCCATACAAATTACCATGACAAAAATGCGACCCTATCGCCTGCTTTACAATTTTAGGATTAGCAAAAACCACACAAAACCAAATTCTGAATTCTTCTGAATTTATTTAACAAATTTTTATATATACAAAATAACTTTCCAATACCGATAGTTTTTGGAATAAATTTTGATACGAATACAAGGATCGAAACATTACTTACTAAAATTACATAATTCATACTTAGATCTAAATGAAATTTGTTTTCAGGCGAAATATTGTGCCTGTAGCAACGTGACTATAAATAACTAATCAATATGTCAAAATCCTAGTTCACGGGCAGTCTCAAGTTCCATTTGCCACAGTAACAAGACTACGTGGGTCATAAATACCTAAATACTTTCAGATACAATCCCCTATCTAGTCAGGGAGAACGTTACCTCATTTATTATGCCAATATTATCGGGGCAAATATCGATGTGATGGTGAATTAGCACTCTCGGGACAGAGGCCAATCGACTTCGAACTGTGAATAATTAATATGAAATATGCAGATCGATTCGAAACGCCTCAAGAACCCCCACTTTGTGAATTTGCAATTGGTTGGAATGGTGACGTCATTCAGTACTTTCCCGCACAACTTTCTTTGTTATCACCGTCTTCCATCGTGTGGGCTGTTAAAGTTGTGATAAGACTTTATGTGCCGCTCTGGGCGTGTGATATCGTACCATCAGTTGAAAGGATTACCGTGGACTTTAATTTGAAGGGTCTTAGGGCAAGTTTCTTTTCGAGTCAAGATCTCAAGGTCAAGCTTTAGATATTGAAAGAGCTTCGAAAGATCAAACATGAAATAGAAATAAGAAAAATCCTTCAAGATAAAAATTGCGTAAAACAACTTTTTTGACAACATAAAGCTTTATTTCAAGAATAAATAAATTTTTTGATGTCATAATTTAAACAATCAATTGATTTAGACCTGCAATGCCCTTACCAGAACAAGGTTTAATATTCAAAACGTCTCATTAGAAATACCATTGTCTAAAAACTATAGAAATTAGTACGAGAGCCCACGACCAAAACCATGTCTCATAGCAATACGGCAAAAACCCTATAAAATCGTTAGATTGTATGATTCTGAACCCGACTAGGTGTGTAGTAACGGTCGAAAGTGTAGCAACTGCGTGGGAGGCCATTTCTGCTGTGTCAAAAAAAAAAGACAGTCTGTATTATAGCAATACGTCTGATAGTGAAAATGTACATAGATTTTATAATTGTATTACGAAAAAGTTTGTTTTCAGACATTTTGCGCGTAGCATATAGCCTGAGCGCATTTTTGAAAATGTCAACAAATTTAGCCGACCTGTATCATAGCAATACGGATAATTATTTTTTTCAACATTTCGTATTGCTGCCATGATTACCAAAAACCTGTTTTCAGACACTTTAAGTGTATCAAAAAGTTGTATGATAGAGAAGGTGCTACCTACACTTAATTTGTCTGATATAAATTTTTTGCACATGTGGACAACTTATTTTATCATGTCCAACAATTTTCAGACATATTGCTATGATACCGATCGGTAAAATTTGTTAACATTTTCAAAACGGTCTCAAAATTTAATGCGTTCACATTTCCGTCTGAAAATTGTTTTGTTCGCATCAAATAACCAAAATTTACTAATAAAAAAGATTTTCAGACGTATTGCTATGAGACATTTTTTTTGTCTCATTTTTAATTTTTTTAAGTGATTTTACGGGTTTGCGCTACACCACTAACGTCTGAAAATAATGTTTCCGGTATCTCAGAACTATCATTCAACTACAGTCTCCAAATCAGACATATTGCTATGATGCAGTTCGGTAAAATTCTTTGACAATTTTGAAAATTCGGTCAGATCAAACGCTACGCGGAAAATGTCTGATATTGGTATTTTCGAGTTCAGGATAATCGTATCTATCGATTTGATGCGGTTTTGGCCGTATTGCTATGAGACAAAAATTTTGGTCGCGGGCTCTCGTACTAAATAGTTTCAAGTTTAATCTTATTCTAAAGAAATAATCACGCTTAAAGGTGCTTATTAATCCTATGATATTAATAAAATTTGGATATGAATAAAATCGTTTCTTTTATTCTATTGAGGAAAATCTGGCAACAATGCCAAATTGTCAACGACAAATCGAGTGCCATCACTTACACAGGTTAAGGAGACTCGTCTAAAGCAGAGATATTCGTAGTAGTCGATGGTATCAGAAGTACAATAACTTCAACCGTATCGCTAATATTACGGCTTAGGTCGTGCAAAATTACCCTTGATCGATATTTAGCGAACCGCTTCCCGTAGCTCGGGGACGGCCTGAAATTTTAATGTGAACCTGATGCTATTTTCCGTGTGGCCAGTTTTCTTTTTGGTCCAGCTCTTTTTCAAGACTCGCTTGAACTTCTTGACAACGAGCGGTTTCGTTGCAGCGCTTTCGAGAAGCTGCAAAGAGGTTTTAATCTGAACAGTAATCAAATATTCAGCGGTTTGAAACTATGCTTTATAAAACTTAGGACAAAGCAACGGATTCGCTGGAGAAAGTGTAATAAGCGACAGTATATTGGCATATTCTTTTTACTGAGAATTTTGATTCTGAAAACGTATGCAAAGTATGAAATATCTTCCCATGTACTCTTCTACATACAATTACAGACGTAATGAAAACTTGCGTACCTCACAAAGAAAAGTATAAGTATTTTATTGTAAAATTTTTGCGTTACTCAAATTATGTTACCTACCAATTGTTTTGCCATAAATAACAGTCATTTTGAGTACTATACCTATGACTATACGTATGCCCATTTATTATTAGAACAGGTAAAGGATGTGATAAGGAAGGTCAAAGTGTCATATCGAGTATTGGCACATAATATCGTCACGTATCATACAAAATAGGACTTTGTTCACCTATAAATACGTCAAATTTTAAATGTGAACTTAACCTTACTCAAGTAACTTTGGTTTAATTAGATCCAGCTCCAAACATTCACAATATTTCAGGCATTTCAGCGTGGTTGTCTAGCAACGTCCCCAGCTATTTGAGTTCCAAATTAGTGTCACTGAGTGGCCCAAAGAGTTTCTGAGCGGCATGTCGATNGATTTTGTTCAATTTTTTTTTATATTGTAAAGACCAGTCAGATATATAAATTGACAAAAACCACCGAAGTTTGGGACTTTTTTATTTTTAATGAAATAATCATGAACTACTTGTGCAGTTTATGACAAATTGCTTCAGTAGGTACTTTACTAAAGTGCATTTTATTTAAGCCCAAGTAATAGAGCTGTGGTTGAAACCAACCCACTAAGTTTGTTTGGGATATAGAAAACTTTATCTTGTATGGATGTTATGCCATGCACATACTTATGTCACAAATGCCATTAAAACTTAATACATTATTTTTCATACTGTCTTTTTCAGCATAACATTCCACAACTCCTCCACGTACCTACTGTTAGTGCCTTTTCACACGTTCCGGTTGCCGGCTATCCGGCGCCGGGTACCCGGTGGTGAAGTGTATGGGCATGGTACGTAGCTTTCACATGTTCCGGCGTAATTAATCCGGCATGCCCATACATTTGACGCCGGGTAGCCGGCGCCGGTTAGCCGGCAACCGGGACGTGTGAAAAGGGCCTTACTCCACCGCCGTCTCAACAGCGATCGGAATACGCGATATTTACTGAGAGATTCCTGAGGGTGGTAGAACAGCAGGACTTGCAGACATTGTGTGGAACGCAAAGCGGAAAGAGAAGAGACACTGACTGAATCCCTGACTGAACTGGGAAAAGGATTGGAAGCTTTAGCAGAAGCTAATAAATGGATTAAAGATAAAATATTACTACAGCTTTATTTGTTTAATTTCTTTACTACATATTTCTATTACTGTGCCCCTCAGAAAGTAATGATAATTAGAGGTAGTCCTAATAATTATTTTAAATACGAAATACATTTATACATAGGTATATTTTATTATTCAAAATAATTAAGATAAAACAAAAATTTTAATGAAAGTTTGTACATATCCACACTTATTATTCTTTTAGGTACCTACATACATAGAGATGTAAAATGTTTGATTTATAGTTTGCAGAATATGAGTGCTTCTGGGGAATTATCTTCGGTACCACTCACTGGTGTCATTAGGCAGGCGCGTGGAGCATATCCTAAATCACCTAAAAAAAGAACACAAGCATCAATCACACATTACAAAAATTAAAATTGCCTCACATCCTAAGTAGTAGTGACTCACCAAGCAAAACCACTTCATCACCAGCCTTTGTACATCTCTTAAGTGTTTTTTTTTACTATAGGTAGGTAGATACAGTGAATAAAAATAAATCAGACTTGCATAGCACCACCATTCCACCATATTAAGTTGGATCCGCATTTGACTTATTTAGATCTTTATCTGTTATCTGAAAAAAGAAATAATATTAGAAGACACATTCTTCGAGTGGTGAGGTTACAATGACATAAGGGTGAAGAAAGACCTGCTCTATCACACAAGGACATAAGTTATTTATTGTATTAAATATAAGCATAAGGACTAAATTTCCTTGCTAATGTAACAATATTTATTATGTAATTGTATGTGAATGTACCTATTGTGAACTCGTTAGCTTTATATCAAACCCTAGTGGTTTTCAAAGCTATCTAAATGCAACTATCCCAATGTAATTTTCTAAAAAAACTATTACAAAATTGATACCTACCCAATTTACCTACCGATTGCACTTTCTTGCATGGTAACCTTTGCGACAGTAAAAACGTTATCGTTCTCTGCTGGTAAATTTATTAATTACTTTACAGATTACTGCCTTTAGCCAAAAATGACAAGGTGCATAATATCTCTGAAACAAATCATTAAATTTATATATGGTATTCCAACGAAGTATGTAATAAAATACAGACTCTAGCTACTGATACTGTATGAAGATCCATGTATTCATTGTTTGAAATCTATTTTAAACTGTGTAATAATATCAATGTAATAAAAATATAACTTTACATAAGCTTACCTTTACTCGAGTTGAAATCCATTTGCCTTTAATATAAACATTCGTGTCATCCCTAATATGCATAATTTAGTTCAAATAAATATCACAAAACTTATTTTTAACACATTTGAACACTAATAAAAGTAATTTTAATGCAATTTTCTAAAACTCCGTCTATTCTCACTCACAAAATACTAACTTTTTATTTGACATTTTGGAGCGCATTCGAGTGCGAAGTGTGTTTCGGAATGGGGCTGGAATTTCCTTACAGAATGCCACTCAAAACGTCATCCCATACAAAATCTCACGATCAATTAGTTCAACCCGCTGCCGCGCCGACAAGCGTAGCGCTAGAGTAAATTCGTGCCGACGATCGAGTTTATAGAATGCAAATCTAAAAACTCATCGCGGATTTAGTTGCGATGTCTAGGTGAAGGTTACGATAGGAAACGCACGTCCTAGCCCATTATGTTACAGTTGCACTGAAAATACGACTTAGTTTGTAACACTAGAAGGTTAATTTTAATACATACGTCTACATTGCAGACAGAAGTTCCTTGGCTTTTGTTACTTCGACTACCTACTAGCTTTTATTTCATATGTGTGACAATGATTATTTGAGAGACTATGTTGTGAATTTCATTCATCAATACCGCTGAGATTAAATTCAAATTGTATTAGTATTTCAACTTACTGAAAAATTCACAGGCCGTTTTCAGCGGCTCCGTCCAGAGATTTATTGTTGAAAGCTAGCCTCCCCTCGCAAATATTAATTTACACTGGAACAAATGGATGGCCTAAAAGTGCCTAACTTTGGCTAAGAGCAATTAATAAAATAGTTAACTATTTTTAAATTATTCAACTTCCATCTGAGGCAATCGATTTTATTAAGTTTAAACAAATAGTAAGTTTCGTATTATAATGAAACGAAACTTTCTATTTTGATCCAATAGATATACCCTTTGTGTAGGTAAGTTAAGTTGAGACTTTTAATCCTTTGTGTAAGCATTAACCAACAGTTAAATTAAAAAAACTGCAATTTTCCACTGAATGACTTCAACACCCGAACCAGCAGACCTATACCTACACTTCCACAATCAATCATCTAAAACAGCAATCTGCCAGTTCCAAGCACGGCCCAAATTAGTCGGCGAGCTGCAGGTGCCCGAGCCGAATGAGTTTCGCCGAGAGTCGTCCGCCACGCGTGCGGAATACGCAAACACGCCCTACGCTATTACACCACACTTGCTGGCTGCATCAGTAAGTTCACACATATTAAATACTTGAACTTGAAGGGAAACAAACGACTGAATTCCGGGCCATATTAAACTAAGTCAATTGTGAATTTTATCAGAGTAAATACAAATGAGTAGGTCAACTTCATAGAAATGCACCGGCGCAACACCCCGCTAATCCACGCTAAATTTTGTCAGTGTGTGCGTGCGCGCCGCATTTGTATTGGCGCGCTCACATATACAAACCGCGCTCGGTGCGTTTCTATGAAGATGACCTACTTACTCATATGTATTTACTCTGATTTTACGCAAGCAATCCCCTGATCTAATGACATTCATGGTCTTGAAGTTGAGTTTAGATTCTTACTTGAAACTATATTAATAGAAGCATATTCATATGATTTCAAAAGGGCTTTATACTTCTTTTAAATCCGGAGATCCTGATTCGATTATCAGATGACACGGACAAGACAATAAAGCATTGGAGGACAGTTAAGCTTTGAAAGTAAACCATAATACTTATCAAACGCCTACTAAAAGTCTTATAAAGCTGACGAGGTACTCGATCTTAGCTGTTACACTCTGCTTATTTGATGTGGGTCTACAGAAATCATTCACAGTATCCTTGGTAATCAAAAGAAATCAGTAAGTCTGCTTCATTTTCGTCTTTTACATGGTTACACCCCTACATAACTCACATACACCTTTTCAGATGCACGCACTCAGTAGGGGCCCACAAATAACTGACAGATGTCCCACATAAAATAGAGTCCATGCTACATTTTATTTGTATCGAATGCCGCAACACCATCGACCATAACCATAAGTTGTCTGTGGTTTAGTGGTTTGAGAGAGTCCCTTCTCTCACTTGACCCCAGAAACCATGAGGTTGATTACACACTCAAACCTACTGCTACTGTGTTGGATGTTATTATGGTCAAAACATAGTGAACTTTAATTAACCTGAACGTCCTGTAAGACAACTTTGTCTTGGAGTCGCACAGCAATACGCGTCGGTCCAGCGAAGCGAAACAGATGCCGGCTTACAAAGTTTGATAAAGACCAGGGTACGGTAATATACAATAAGTCATTTCAACGATTCCCAAAGAATTAGGTCCTATTTCGTCTGTATAATGTAGGTATTTATTGAAATGTCAATATCGAAAGTATTGTGACATTTTCAAATAGAAATAACAGCCTTGAAGTTGCTTTTCTCGAAAGAAAATTTAGTGACATACTTGAAACACTATCAACTGTACAAAATAACTTCGAAAATAAACGAAATCCGACATTGCCTGGATACGCTAATTTTATTTTCAAGCAAGATATCTACGAATCTGACATCTATCTTAATCTCTGTTCCACAAAAACACCCTCAGAAGTGCAACCCCAACCATTAGCCTAACGAGACGTTAATGACGCGGAAAAGCTATACCCGGATACAACGGTGTTAACATTAAAAAAACTTTCACATTTCAAATGGGAGTATTTCCACCACAAAATAACGCAGTTGACCCAATTCTTTACACGCTCGCTTGTCGCCTAGCCGAGCGCTTCCAGCGCTGCTTATTTTATGAAACCTTACAAACGCAAATTGTCGCAAAGCCGCCCCACATTTCTTCGCAAATTTCAACGGACCCATTAATTAAATAATATACGACTCCTGTAAGTACAATAATTGCCTAAAGTAAGACAAAATAAATTTATGCAGAGCCCGCGCAGACAGGTTCTTATGAATTGCAAATTAGTGTAATAATATAACGACATTAACAACTTTATTATTGTAAAGACGTAAAGGAAAAGAAAATTAAATAACTGAAGCGGAACCTTTGTTTTTCGATGACCTCATTCGTGTAACTTCCGTCTAATGTTTCTTTTTCTTAATTTCTGTTTATGTTATCTAACATTTCCAAAAACGATTTCCGTAATTTTAATGTTATTCACATAATAAAAACGACATCTCTTTGTTCCTTTAAGAAGACAGTAAAATAAATAAATAATATCCCGAAGGATGAGTTTCAAGATCTACTTAATGCAAAATACATAACTGGGATACTGTATCAATTTTCGCATAATCTCATTCCTATTCAAATTCCCACTACAATCGGTAACTGACAGTAAAAAATAGTAAGAAAATTCTTCCCCTCAGCGCAAATAAAATTGTAACCCTAACCCTAAAATGCGATACCACCAAAGCGACCGCCGATAATCTTACACTCGAGCAAGCATTTGTGTAACGCGTCGCGAACAAGCCGCTAAGGGTTAGTGATGCCACTAAATAATTTGTCGATAGATTCTAGCTACGAACGACAGCACATCATCTAAAGTCTAAACAATATGAAATCTTATGTAATATCTGTACAGTCTGATTAGCTGTCGACTGTACAAAAAGGCATTAATATCAAATATCTTAAAATTTAATCAATATCAAAGTCGATAAAGCTTTGAAATTATATGGAGAAATTCGTTTTAGAAGTTAATTTTCTTTTTTCAGATTGGCACAGGGCATCCCTCGGGGTCTGTGCTTTCTCGAATATTTATTAAATTGTATATTATTACTTAAGAAGTGAAATCCATTAAATAACTGTTCATAAATAAAGAAACACGGAAAATATAGGCAAATCTAGTGTTCGAAAAAGAGAACATCATAGAGTTATATACGTATATCAAATAGTGGTTTAAAATTGTGCCCGTATGTAGATGCGATCCCCGTTTAATATGGTAAATGTAAGGGAAAAATTGATGCAAATTTTACGGCGCAATTTCGTCCGAAGCAGCCTCTGATGTTTGCGGTTACTTTACCGTGGCACGGGGGTTGAAAACGCGGGCGGCTCGTTGCCACGGCAATATCTGTGATTACGACAGCGGCTAACCATATTTTGGTATTCTACATAAATAAATCGAGGGTCAAATGAGCGATTTTTGTCTGAACATAGAATCTCAACTATCGAGGTCTCTAAATCTATCGATATAAAGTGCATCACTACAAAGGGCTGCAGGTAGGGTTGACACTGTAGTAGGTTAAGCCGCATTTTTACATAATTTATTTATTCAAGAGCCTTGAGCGTGTTTGCGGAGCTCTCTGACGTAGCAGGTCCTTCTGTTCTAAACATTATGCCCTTTTTTCGTTATTTCTTATAGATATTTTGGGGCGACTTACCTACTTTTTACCTTTTTCCTGTTTTCAAGAAAAACGCGGGAGATAAATTTTCTTAATTTTATATTACGTAGGTACTTTTCACACATTGTGACACCAGAGAAGCACATTTAAATTGAATAATTTCGCAGAAATAAAAAAACTAGATTTAGACTAATTTCGCAAACCTATTTCTCCATTGATGTGACGTAGGTACTTATTACTAAAGTAAACTAATATTGAGAATTTATACAGTACCTCATCATAAAAATCCATTCTATAATAGAATATGGTAACTTCGTAAAATATTATATGTAAAGTTCACACTCCTGTTCAAAGGACTTTTAAAATGTCACTGACTACAGAGCTAATGACACACGAGTATCAGTGCCTTTTCAAACGGCTGTTGAAATCACCTTAAAGTTGTAACGCAGAGTACAAAGGCATGTCGGCGACTGTAGCAGAATGGATATGGGAATTCTGACATCCCCAAGGGAACTTGTCGAGCTTCAATGGCTAAAAGCGACTTTCGACATCTGGGAATAACTGGGAGATACTTGAAAGAGAATATTGAACTAGTACTGACAAGTACGGATAGTACATCAAGCTAGACAGAGGAGTCTTATCTAGTTGTAATACAGGCTATTTTGCCACAAAAATGTAAAGGCTGATGTGCCATTGTTGCAGATTGTGAATTCATGCCACAGTCGTCTCTCAAGTTTAACGTTCAATCAAAACTTTTGTTGAATATTGTACTGTATACAGATACAAGTACATTGTATGTTTCCAATTGCTATTTTACTCATATGCTTGATTTGGTGGATATGTTTTATTGTGAAGTAAGGCTGTAGATGGTACTGATTTTCACCGATAAAGCACCATTTTCCCTGCTAATATCCATGACACAAATGATTCTATGTGAACCTTTGAACATTTTCATTTTTCTAATTTACAAGATTGATTTAAACTGATTCTTGTGTACACAACTTTATAAACCTAAATTATTTAATTTGCCAAACATCTAATAAAACTCGCTTGCCTAAAAAGCTTTAAATTCGGTAT